CAAGCTTGTTTATCGGCACAATCAATTTGTTTTCCCATCAAGGTCTGTTTTAACATGTGTAGAGGCATCCAAATGTGTAAGGCTATTGGAAACCAAAAAAATAAAGGAATGGGATAGCTATAATTGGATAAATTCGGCATATGAAAACACCAAAATCAATGATTTTTTTTCAGTGGCTGTGTGACCTTGTGCAAATGACTAATCTGTGAAACAAACAGGGGCGGAGACAAACCACTCAAATGTTTGGAAACACTCATTGTGTGTCAGATAGCTACTGATAACACATCCTAACATTGCTTTGTCTTGAGTTTATCTTTGAAACTTATAGGCACACAGATTAAACCTGTGTTGTTGATTTTGGAAAACACTACTGAGGCTGCCTTGCTTCCCTTCAGAATATCTACATTTTAACCAACTTACATGACATTCTATGTTATGTTGACTTTATCACATGAAAGTTTATAGTGCATTTCATCAATTAATAAATAAATGTGAAAATCGTAATTTTCAACACAAATAATAGTCTCGCTACCTTAAGTGGTGATTAAGAATAATTATGCTCAGTGATATTTGCAAGTTTCATCACCAAAATTCAAATATCAAGTTTATTATGGTTGAATATAAGCATTACCTACGAGGGCGCCACTGCCTCACTCTGCGCTGACATGTGTTGTACCGTAATCATTCTATGGTACAGCGAATTAATGTTTCCCTGTGTACCAGTACTATTAATATTGTAAAACTTTTGTACAATGAAGAAAATATTTGCAAAAATTTTGTGTATTTCATTGTTTGCGAGTGGGTCGAGTACTTTAATAACTCGGCAGCTGGCTTGTTTCAGTATTATAATTGAAAGGGTGCTAAAGATCCCATGACACAATGTGAATAAGGTGTGCCTCTAACTGTGGTATGATGCTAGCTTACTTCGTGACACCTTTAAAATATCCCTTAATACACTTAACAATAAAACTTGTAGATATGTTTCATAATACTGAGTATATATACTACAAATTTGAAATTGGTCAATGCAAAGCTAAAACATTGAAAAAAATCATCATTTTCACCCTAGTCTTTTGACCAAAAATTACACATTTTGATAATACCTTTAAAACACATTGATTGTCAAACTGTTGTCTATCAATACATATAACATGCATTACATATATGTGAAGTTTGAATGAAATTTATCAATGAATTGTCGAACAGTGACAAAAACAAGTTCCACATGCATGAAAAAACGCATGAATCATCATGAAATATGCTGAGCACATTACACTGAACAATTTGTTCAAATCAGATCATGAGATTCAGAATTATGATGTGACACAGACAGACGGATGGACGGATGAACGAACAGAACTAATTCCAAGAGCTCCTGTCTCAGACTGTGTCCTGTTACAGGGGCTAATTTTTGGTAACAATAATACTCAATTTTAAATATATAATCTTTTATTATAAGGCAAAGCCTATATTAGGAAAATCTATATTAGAAGCCACATCCCTAATAGAAGTCACACCCATTCACCATTTTTCATATGTGTAGATGCTCTAATAGAAGCTGGATCTTTGTTGCATCATACCATTATAATCAAAGCTACTGTAATAGAGCTAATACAGTAAATAATAAAGTAATTACTATAAATAGGAAGTTATCACACATAATGTATTGCACACATGCTCAATAGCGGCTTAAATGCACTTGCGTAAATGACAGAGGTATTAAATCCAGTATACAATAAATGAAATGTTTAGTCTTTATGTGCTTCTCTTTGAATTGTGATTCTGATAAAGCAAATCAGTTTTACTTTTGAAAACAAGTTCATAATCCCGGTTAATTTTGAATATAATGTGTACAAATGTGAGCATAATAACATTTTAGAAATACTGTATTCTATGAAATACTTAATTTTTTACTGGAATTTATTTTCACTATTTCGCTGAAGGGATGATATTTTAAATTAAATTTACCGAGTACACATATATTTCTATATTTTACATTCAATTACAGCTAAAACAATTTTTTTACAATATCATTTGTCAATATTTCAGCAATATTTTATTTTAGAAATTTGATTTTCTAATATGTATTGAGTATAACTCTATGAATTCAATCTCTGAGTAAAACAAATGAAAAGGCCAAAGAAAAAAACAATTGTTTCAGAAACCGTACCTAATTAAAATTTACCGTTTTTTTTTTTTATTTTATGAAAATTAGCATGTTCTAACATCCAAAACATTTTTTTTTTTGGCCTAACCTAAACTTTGAATATACTAAGTATGTATGGTCATTACAGTTTCTATGACACAAATCACAAATCCCTTGAATGTGAATGCCTTTAAAAAAAATTTAAATGTCTGTAACTGATCATTTTAAATTGCAGAGAAATATTTTTCCCTTACACTCTCTTATTAACCAAAGTTTTGATGAAATTATGATGTTTGTTTGTTCTATTTGAAAATCTTGCACATTTAACTTTTTCCCATAGTGTCTGTGTATTACCTACAAAACATACAATGTCTCAAAAATAGGCCAGTCACTGAAAGATTATAATAAAATAATTTCCACCCTCTTAGTAGAAAATTCTAAATGTCTTCATAAAATCAAACATGCTTAGTCTGGTTGTACACTGAATAGCCTTGTGTTTATTCAGTTGCATTAGTTGTACACAAGGCAGTCGTATAATGTAACTAAATCACCTAGCTACCTTTAGTAATAAAACTGGCCTCAAGCCAACATCCTATATCCATTATTCTCTCCAGCAAGTACCATAGTACCACCTGTTCATGACTGTTTATGTGTGTAGACATCTCAAGGCCTAATATTCAATACAACTATCTGTAGTTTGACGGTCATATTTACCAGTAGAACAGTATCATTGTTATCACTGACCTGGGATTATGTTGTTTTTTTGATTCATAGAGCCATTTTTAACGATTGTGAGACAGGTTTGCCCTTCAATTAGCACAATACATTACATAATAAGTTTTAAATTTTGTACATACAACAAAATATAAATTTAAATAATTGAATATGAATTGATAAATATGGCTACAACAGCTGAAGGGAATTTAGGCTGTTCCTGGATCAATAATAGCTTTTGAGTGATGACTTACATGTAGTGATCATTGCTAGGCAAATATAAATATATATCTTTATTGCATGAATTACAAATTTGTGGTTAGCAAATGAAGAAAAATAAAACAAGTATAAGAATACAGATAAATAAATAAAGTTGTATTATTAGTTATTACATTTTGATATAGTTGGCAACAATGTTTAATACTGTAAAGGGGGTAATTATTCACTGGGTTTTAATTTAGCTTATTTCGCTGACTGGAAAATGCGCTAAATTAAAATCCAGTGAATATGTAAAATTTAGCATAGAACACATTATCTAAATGACAAAACCGTGAATTTAAAACACACTGAATATGCCTGGAATGGTAAATCAGTGAAATTTAAACCGAGTGAAAATTAGTCATTTTACAGTATTTGAGTGTCATTTGTTGCAATTAAATATATCAATATGTCTGTATCATATATTAATGTCATTAGCACCATAACATATCTTGGCATCAATTGTGCTATTCAGGGTATTTAATCCTGAATTGACGTATTATTGCAGTGTACATATAATCAGATATTGGTGTCTTGGGTTTTACGAATCTGTCTGTTTCAAATAGGGATTAAAAAACAACGCCATTATGGCATTATAACACAGCAAGGACAAAATGTGTTCAATAATGGGGGAGACTAGTCAATTCATTATTTGATTCAACATTCCAGTCAGAGCATTGTTATCCCACAATAATGAACAGTATGAA